TAATATATTTTGGTGCGAGGCCATGGAGAGACTTGTACACAAGCAGAGCTGTTTTAAAGTCTATTCTCTGAGCCACAGGAAGCCAGTGCAGAGACCTGAGGACCGGACTAATGTGGTCGTACTTCCTGGTTCTAGTCAGGACTCGAGCTGCTGCATTTTGAATGTACTGCAGCTGTTTTACAGCCTGTTTGGACAGACCTGTGAGCAGGCCATTGCAGTAGTCTAACCTACTGGAGACAAATGCATGGATAAGAATCTCCAGGTCTGCTTTAGACACTATGTTTTTGATCCTGGCAGTGTTTTTTAGATGGTAAAAAGCTGCTGATGTTACTGATTTAATGTGGCTATTAAAATTTAAGTCTGAGTCCAGTATTACCCCTAGATTTCTGACCTTGTTTGAAGGTTTTAGGGAGAGAGACTGTAGATGACAGATGACGCTCTCTCTTTGTTTCTGGTGACCAAAGACAATCATTTCAGTTTTGTCTGCGTTTAGCTGAAGGAAGTTGTTTTGCATCCACTCACTGATCTGTTGGATACAGGGAAGGAGTGAGTCCACTGGTCCATGTTCTCCTGCAGTCAGTGAGACATAGATCTGAGTGTCGTCTGCATAGTTATGATAGGAAACTTTGATACTGGCAGTAATTTAATTCAATTGGAATTACCCTCAGCATGGCATAATTGTATGAATAATTAAAACATGTATTAATTGATAAGATAAGATAAACCTTTATTAGTCTCACAGTGGAGAAATTTCAGTGTCATCGTTGAGCACATTACAGCAGAGAAAGGAAATAAGAGCACTCAGATTGCACACATCAAAGTCTATTATTTAAGATAATAGACAATACATTTAAGATAAAATAAAATAAAATAAGATAAACTCTGGGCTATAATTGCACTTGGTTCGGTGTATTTACAGATGTCTATATTATACATTAGCAGCGGAGAATATGAGAATATGAATATGAGCAGAATAAACATCAGAAATTGAAGCAAATGAAAAATCGTATCAGAATCGTATCAGAACAGAGGAAGGGATCAGTTTGAACCGGGAGCCGTTGTGTTCACTTAAAATGGAGCTGGGACAAAAGGCGGCTGTACATCATTCAGACAGTTATATTTCACAAAGATATTCTCTCATCACTTGTTTTCTTATTCAAGAAGGTTAAACTGTGGAACAAGAGCTCAATCAGTGGTTGAGTTGCAGACAGAGTTGTTCTCACGTGTCCATTTTATATTGTATTTTATCGGTAAAAGCCCCTGTGGACTAGTGATGAAAACTAGCACATATAACACTTAGAGCAATGCATCTGGTTTGTCCAATTTCATTTTTATGTCCATATAATCTACACTATTGTTAGGTAGTTAGTTAGAAATGATATAATTGATGTCCTTATGTGTTTATATGTATATGGATGTGTAACTATCAATAAATAAAATAAATAAAATAAATAAAATAAATAAAATAAATAAAATAAATACAATAAATAAAATAAATAAAATAAATAAAATAAATAAAATAAATAAAATAAAATACAAAAATAAAATAAAAAAAATATGTTGTGTTTAAAGTCAACTCTCTCCTGTTTTCCCCTAAACTGAGTGACACAATAGGTCACATGAAATCATCCCATCATCACTTCTGCTCGTCCAGACTCTCCACAAGGCTTAAAACCAGCCCCTGTTATTCGTGTATATGCGCAGTCATCATATCAGTCTGCCGGCTTTACTTCAGAAGTGCTCCTCTTGCATCATACTCTGCTCTCACACATCTCCCTATCCCAGCACCGAGCACACTGGGCCCCCGTCCGTCTCTGTGATCCGCCCGACGCTGGAGGTGTGTGTTGCACTGCAGTCACATGCCACTGCGGAGTCACTCTCTCCCAGAGGCCCTGCGCCACCGGCCTTCGATACAGCACCTGGATATGCTGTCTCTATGTACGGCTGAGTGTGCGTGCCTACACGTGTGTGTGTGTGGGTGTGTGTGTGTGTGTGTGTGTGTGCGTCTTGTTTATCATTATCACGGGATACAGTAAGAGAAGTAGCACTGGAGGGAGAAAGGTACAGCTCAGCAAATTCAATTGGCTTCACATCCCTGCATTATCTTTCCTCCAATAGATAGAAATAGAATTTTTGGATTGTTTTCATATTTCTTTCCCGATTTCAAATGAAGGATATTGTTTGCTCCGTGTGTCACTCCTTGTGAGTCAACCTGTCAGCACTGCAGTAGTTGGTGACCGCAGTGTAACCTCATAAGACCAGCTCTCCTTGAACTTTTAAAGGTTCAAGGAGAGAAAGGTTGTTGTAGCTGTGACCGATTGTGCAGGTTGTAGGTTGCAATGCAGAAATAACACAACCATGTATCCTTATATGACGGTTGTTTTCCATCCAGAAAGTACACGTTATAAACCTATAAATTGACATTTGAGAAAATAGCATTATACTTAGGGAAAAGCCATGACTCACATCATGGGCTCAGAGCTGATTGGTCCAGTTTATATAAGTAAATCCACTCTGATTCACCTTTGTGTGCTAGTGGCAAATAGGTATGCATGTGAAAGGTAATAAGGGTTTGTGATAGAAATAAGTTAGATTGTTTAAAACATACTTCAATTGATCTGCAAACACAATTACCTTGTGTACCTTGTGTACCTACCTTGTGTAATATACATCATGCAAATGATTCTGAAATTCTTATGTTGATTACCAGTCATGGGCATTTTATGTATTCATTAGTTTCTCATCTGGTGGATGTCGGGACCTGTACACCAACCTGTATCGTGTTTCGTCTTGTTTTTTGTCCATTTTATTTTATTTTATTTGTATTTTCTACGTCTCTTTATGTGTGTGCATGTGTGTGTGAGTGCGTGTACGGCCTTGTGTAGGTGTATATAGTAAGAACTTTATATAAATATATTTTGCTCATGTGTGGGAACAGTATGCTGTACATTTGATTCATGTTGAATAGAAAAATATTTTATTAATAAAGAAAAATCTGATGGAGTATCTTCCTCTATTCGCAAAATGCAGGAACCCAAGCTTACAAAAAACTTCAAATAGAAGCCTTGAAAATGCCTTAAGAAAAATAACACATATTAGGCCTTCGTATGGGTTTGAGACGGGTGTACACCGCATCAGGGTAATTAATAAACACATTTACATTCATGATGCTTTGGGATATTCAACAAAGCGCCCTTCGCCCACTTGCCTCTCCATTTTAAATTCACATGCTTGAGCTTTTCCGATATGTAAATGTGAAGAAGCCCCATGGTAAAACAGCTGCTCTCCAGTATCACACAGACCTCCATATGGTCAAAAACAAAACACAGCCAACAGGCCTGCATCCACCATCACGGAATCTGCTCTCCGCACACCCTGAAGACACCGTTCTTGTCACAGTCGCATCATGTGTGTGGGACCTGTCAGACTCTGAGATGACAGCGTGTTCTTTGAGAGAGAAAGACAGCCCTCCAACACTTCCACATTTGCCGTCAGTAGTTAGTGAGGAACGTATTAAAGCAATCAACACCACCATCGCTGCCCGTGCAAAAGGTGTTCATACACAGGTACTAAATACAACTGGAACGTTTGCACATTTTGTCAACTGTGAAGTCTTTTGGGGAGTGAATATACAAACGTTGCACATCCAGAGACTGAATGTTTTGTCCACCATTACCATATTAAGCAACCTAAACTCTGCCAGATTAGATTTAGGTCTGGCCATAAGACAATACTGATGTAAAACAGGCCAAGAAATGTTGTATGAATACTCGTACAAGTCCTACTCCATTTCTAGAAAAACAAAACCTGTTTTTCTTCTGCTTTTTCTCTGTTATGTCTGTTTGTATGTTCACTTTTTGATTAAAACTGTAAATAAAATAAAAATTAAAAATAACAACAAAACTGCTTCCACTTTACTTTGTTGTGGTCTGTCAAAAGTCTAATAATCTTTGCATAAAGTATGTTAAAAAGCACAGATAGGAAGTGGCATGGTGCAAACAAAGAAAAGACCCAGATGGAGTTCAGGCACCCACTGAAACAGATCCAAAAAGCTTTTATTTGGGAAGAATTGTTATAAAACACCAACGCCAGCATCAAGCCGTTATCAGCTTGTGGTATAAAGAGCATTATTATAATATGTTATAAGGATAAGAATAATCATCCTCTCTGTAAGTAATTCCATTGTTGAGGCACTGGCAACATAACAGCAATAACAAACCTTGAAATAGTCCATCGTGACTTCATTAGTAACATCCTGTATTGTTTTATCCAAAAGGTTCGTGAGACATTTAAATCAAAAAGTCCAAATCAGATTGAGGATTTGAAATATACAATGACATTTTTTTATTTCTACTAGTCAAATTGAGTTCAAAAGCACTAATATAGCATGACATCTGACAAATGAATTCTTCTCAAGGCTTAAATCCCCCTCATCACGAAGGCTTTCGTGTCACACAAAAGAACAGGTTACACACACATGCAACTCCCAGCAACACAAAGTGTGTGTATGTGTGTGTGTGTGTGTGCGTGCGTGCGTGTGTGTATGTGTGTGTTTGTGTGGGTGTGTGTGTGCAGGGCAGTTGTGAAGGCCAACTCAGCAGTGTCTCCGCTGACCAGGCATTAGATGAAGGGCAGTGAACAACCAGAATATAACAATATATGTTGTCTGTCCAAAGGTGTATGTTTATCAGACATGACATTCTCTAAGAGATTTTTTGCTGTTTAGATTCTAGAGAAAAACTCAAATTTGAAGACAAAGAGGAACAAAGAGGATGTTATCCAGAAGGATTGTCCTGCTTCCTAAATATGTATCAACCAGCAGTAATTAGTTAAAGCTAAAGGTACCGCCCACTGTGGAGCGAACAAATATCAACGTTGAGATTTCCATAAAGTGAAATAAATTTGCTGACGCATCAGGCACGTCTTTCAAAAAACCATCAATACTACACTCAAATCTAAAATCTAGTCTAAAATCATTTCAGAAACAGTCTAAAACTTACCACACTTTGGGTCCTTCCCGTCCAGCAGGGGCCTGTAGTCGCTCTTGGACACGGTCTCCCCCACCTTGTCGTCATAGGGTTCTTTCTCCAGAGCGGACATGAAGTCTCTCTTCAGGAGCGCCTCAGAGGGGGCTCCGCCAGACATCCCCCCTCCACCTCCCAGAGCATCTCTCAGGCTCAGGTCCATAACTCTTTACCTGCGGAGGACAATATGCAATTATTATTTCGAAGCACAGGTGAGGAGTATCTCTGTGTAACTTGAATATAAGTAGGACAGTATCAGGTGTTTAAATAATAATAGTCTTATATCACAAATGTAAAAAATATATACAAATTTTCCCTTGTCTCAAGGTCAAGCTATTTTGTGTCACAATTTCGTCAACAATAAATTAAATATTGATAACAAATCAGACCAAAACATGCTGCATTCATCTTATTAGAAAACATGTCATTTTTCACACACTTGGAAGAAGGAGCATTGTGAGTCACTATTTGACACTTGGGGCTGAGAGCGGATAGGCTGATTAGAGGGTGGTTTTATCTTTTGTCTGGAAAAAACGTGATCTTTTATCTGGAAAAAACGTGATCTACAGATGTGACAGAGGCCAAAAATACATGCATGTGAAAACTGGAGATGAAACCATACTGTTATGAGAGCGAGGAAATAATTAGATGGATTTCAGTCGATAATTATTCATGAATATTTGCACGTATTTCCTGATTTTGCAACTGAAGTAACTTTGAACCTACTCAGTTGTGCTGCGAGTACAACATAGAGCCACTGTCTCGACATTTTGACAGTGTGACCCCTCCTCAAACTCTTCTTCTCTGGCCTTTTCTTTGTGTTTTTGTTTACCCCATCATCCCCGCTCCCAGTGAACAAGCTGCCATTGTCCCGCAACTCTCTCCGCACAAAAACACACACACACACACACACAAACACACACAACTGCAGCGCATGGAGAGCAGCCAGTGCCAGACATACAGCAAAAAGATAGTGAAACTGTAGCCCTTTGTGTTCAGGAAGACAGCACTGTACTCAGCAATTTTCTAATGCAGCACCCAAAACAGAGCGGCCTGATCCCCATTTCACACTTGGCCATGTTGATCACTCCATTAGATACGTTTTATAAGTCGCTATTATGATCAGTGTCCCAAATGTTCTGTGGTTAATGGACAAGGGACTAGGGAAAATCTAATCATCATCTAGTGTCTGATGCTGAGACAATTTGTGGGTCTAAAAAATGGACAAACACGTTACATGGGACAATCGAAGCAGCCTCGTCTAAGCAGTATGAATCTGGGTCTGCAAAAATATTATGTAATGCCTATTTCTGACTACAAGCACACGTCAATGAGTTCATATGGCACTGGGAAGACTCAACGTAAATGCAGTAATGCAACATTTACAAGATTGAAATGAGGCATGTTTTTACTAATATGTTAATTATTGAATTTTAAGGTGCACTAACTTTTCAGATGGTTGGCCACTTACTGTTGTTCAAATTAAAATCTTGAGAAGAATTATTGTAATAACGATTATTGTTACTATACTGTCAAGCAGATACCACGACTGTAGAAGACAGTAAATAGATAAATATGCTAAATAGAAAGTGTGCAGGGGCATAAAGTGGTGATGGAAAGAGCTGGTTGCATATAACGTTAATTGGAACAAAAAAAGTGTTCTTAGTCCCTGTTGTAGTCAGACTCACTATTCATGTATCAATTGTGCAGGTTATAAGTGCTATATTTTATTCTGGTATTTGCTTTTTGAAACATTGGATAATCAAAACAAATGCACCTGCATTTAACAGGGACGCTGTTTATATCTCTGCAGTCAAACTGAGCCGTATCCGCAGGCAACTAAACACTATGGATGACTCATATCCTCTTCTTCTACAATTCATCCAGCTTTTGCAAAATGACTTGGTTGAAATAAAAATCCACAACAAAAATAAAAAATATATAAAAAAGGGTGAGAGAGAAGAGTGGAGAGCTCATTCCTCACAGAAAAACGCTCACGGGTTCAATTCCTGTTCTGTATGGAGTTGGTCTGTTTTTTCCAAATGTCTGGGTGGATTTCCTCCAGGCGCTCCAGAATCTACCACCCAAAACATGCACCATTAGTAAATCTAGAGCTCTGGTAAAGCTGACCAAGCTGAGCATCAACATCAGCTCCTGACTGGTTTCTCTTGAGCAGGTATGTCTTATCACTAATTACCCTCATAACACAAAGCAGTAGTAGAGATCATAAACATAAGTTCACAATGTCATCCAGCCAACTTAAGCTTCACCGATATATATGCATACCTTTTTGCAAAGCTCAGAATCTCTGGAATCCTGTCATTGACTTCATTTATTTAGGCTGAATTTTCTTTTTTGATTATGTCACAACATTCTGAATATGGCCCTGATGTAGCAGGTGAGATAGTATGTGTCAATCATATGGCATTCTTCATTTTAAAGAACCAGCGAAAACAATGTTATCGTGTTGTTGGCTCCCAGACAATTTTGACGAGCTATATTGAGGATGGCTCAATTGCAGAGGGTAAATGTCCATAGGTACTCTAAATTATACATTATCCAAATCAATTTGATACTTTTTTGTATGTATAGCCTGAGAACGCATAGCCAACTAGGAGCAATTTAATCACCCTTGTTACGCATTAAGCTGGGTATACTCTATCGATACAAGACATAACTCTATACTGTACATTAATTCAGAGGCGCTGATGCTGGTGAGACAGCTGTCGCACTCCGAGGGATTAGTCACCCACAATCCCTTGCCCCAGCGTTCACCTCCTCTTCCTTTGAACTCACTGACACCGGCACATGCTCCAGTTGCATTTGTTTACTATTTCATCTCCATTGAAGGAATCAGGATCATAATAGAAAATTGGCTGTTTTCATGTGATAACCATGTGGTGCTGAAGGTAGGAACGTGCAATTAATACATTTTTTATGGAAATTGACGTTCAGTCCATAAACTGAAACAGCAAACTTTGAGAGGCACACACACATCCTCAGTAAACACATGTGGATTGGAGAAAGTCTGCAACAATGACTATATAGAAAATCAGGAACAATGAACATAAAGGTCGAATACATGTTTGTTGAATTTTCTAATACTAAATCCTAAAATGTGATATTTTGATTTGGACCATCCATCCATCCATCCATTTTCTTCCGCTTCATCCGTTGCCGGGTCGCGGGGGCAGCAGTCTAAGCAGAGACGCCCACACTTCCCTATCCACACACACTTCCTCCAGCTCGTCCGGGGGGACTCCAAGGCGTTCCCAGGCCAGCTGAGAGACATAGTCCCTCCAGCGTGTCCTGGGTCTTCCTCGGGGTCTCCTCCCAATGGGACGTGCCCGGAACACCTCCCCAGGGTGGCGTCCAGGAGGCATCCGGAACAGATGCCCGAGCCACCTCAACTGGTTCCTCTCGACGTGGAGAAGCAGCGGCTCTACTCCGAGCTCCTCCCATGTGACTGAGCTCCTCACCCTATCTCTAAGGGAGCGCCCAGCCACTCTGCGGAGGAAGCTCATTTCGACCGCTTGTATCCGCGATCTTGTTCTTTCGGTCATTATCCAAAGCTCATGACCATAGGTGAGGGAGGGAACGAAGATTGACCGGTAAATCGAGAGCTTTGCCTTTCGGCTCAGCTCCCTCTTCACCACAACGGTCCGATACAGCGACCGCATCACTGCGCACGCTGCACCGATCCGCCTGTCAATCTCACGCTCCATCCTCGCCTCACTCGAGAACAAGACCCCGAGATACTTGAACTCCTCCACTTGAGGAAGGACTGCTCCACCCTGGTCAACAACTATTTAATACAAACAAGAACATTCCAAAATACTTTCATTTCTAAAATGTGACTTTACAGGGATGAGCTTTTTCTGCTGAAACCCCTTTTACAAAAATTAAGATCAAATGGCACTAGATGCAACAAATCTGTTCAATACTACATTTTTTAATGTAATTTCTCTGACCATAAACCTTTACGATAACATATTAACAGTGTTCACACAACACACACACACAAACACACACATCACACATTTTATCTATGTAGAAACACATGTATCGCATAGGCAAGTATTAGTTATGTAATAGTTTTATGTAATATAGACAGATATTTTGGAGTTTTGCAGAAGGAGGCCCAGTCTGGAAGGGAAGACACAGAGACAAGATACTGGTAGACTTCAAACGCATAAACATACATTTTTAAGCATAAAATCTAAAACTGTTCCCATGTGATTAAAAATATTGAAATAGTTTACCTTATGGCAATGAATAAAGTGGTTGGACACTGAAAACATCTATATTTTTGAGAACTGTGAATAAAAAGTTGAACTCAGACTGGCTTCATAGATGTGCCATATATTTTAGCCGTGCCACGTTTCGGCTAAAACATACTCAACACTTCATTACTTTGTGCTTTAACTCTAACCATGACTCAGCGTGTCTGCCGTTTCCCCTCCTCTCTCGCCGTAATCAAATATAAGTTTCTCTGTGCGGACAGGCCTTTGTGACTCACATCTGCCTGTCCGGGTGATATAACAGCCATGAATGGAGAGGCTTATCGCCATGGGAAACACACTTTCACTGCCGCTGAACAACTGCTGTGCTCCCTTTCATTGACTCGTGAGGTCTATACTCGTAACTATATGTGTGGAGGGGCAAAGCCTGATCTTGTCAAACCTCAGACCCTAAGCAGGGCAGCACCTGGTTAGTATAGTGATGGGGGACACCAGGTTCCACAGTCAGGTGGCTATAAAGAATAAAATCGTTGTGTCGTTTGGCAGGACACTTCACCCACATCGCCCAGTATGAGCCTAGTGTGTGTAAAAGATGAGTGGTGGCCAGAGAAATGAATGACTTTAGAGATTAGTTGCCTCATTTCCATCTGTCTGCCTCAGGTCAGTTGTGGCTACTGTAGTATGGCTTACCATCACTGTCTATGCAGTGAATGAATAAAGTATTTGAGCATATTTGAGTGTCCAGAAAAGCACTATGGACTATTACACTAGTTTTTTTTTTTAAATTAGAATACAAAATACACGATACCATAATAATACCCATACAGTGATATCCATGCACTCGTAGGTAATTTTACAGTTTATAGTCTTTAAAAGGCAGTGAAAATCCATACCCCAAATAAACCTTACAGTTATTAGAATA